ATTTAGGCATCATTGAAATAATCATTATTATTTTTTTTGTTTTTTCCTCAGACTTGATCCATGGGGAGCTTTCCAGGAGTTTCTCTGTTTCTTCTGGGCGCGACATTGTCCTTAACTGTAAGTCCTGTCCAGGGTGGAAAGATTCTGGTGTTCCCCGTTGATGGCAGCCATTGGGTGAACATGAACCTGCTGATCCAGAGCCTCCACGCCAAAGGCCATGAAGTCACTGTGGTCCGCACAGCCACTAGCTGGTATGTCAAAGAAGAGGCACCACATTACAGCTCCATCACTGTCACCTTACCAGAGGCTGTCTGCATAGAGGAGCAGGACTTCTTTGTAACTTTCCTGGTCAAGATACTGGAGATCAAAAAACAGGGGACGTCTTTCATGGCTGTCTTGAAGTTCTACTGGGAAGTGCTAGGTTCATTATCAAAAATCTACCAACAAGCTAGTCTGTTAGGTGTAGAAATATTTGAGAACAAGACTCTAATGTCGAAGATACGTGACTCTAATTTTGACCTGGTTCTTATGGACCCTGGACTTCCTGTTGGAGTTATAGTGGCCCACAAACTAAAGCTTCCAGTTGTTTTTAAGTCTAAATGGATGACCAGTGGGGAAGTCATTTTGTGGTTGCTCCATCACCAACGTCATATGTCCCTACTTCTGGAAATGCCATATCTGACAAGATGACCTTTTTTGAAAGAGTCAAAAACACATTCCACTACTTCCTCAACACCTGCATTGACAAGTTTATAGTTGCCCACCTTATGATAAATAGTAGAAAAGTACTTAGGCCCAGATGTGAACTTCTATCAGCTTCTTCAAGGAGTAGACCTGTGGCTCATGAGAGTGGACTTTGTCTTCGAATTCCCCAGGCCTACCATGCCAAACATTGTCTACATTGGAGGATTTCAGTGTAAGCCTGCTGAGGCCTTACCTTCAGAGTTGGAGGAGTTTGTTGAAAGTTCAGGAGAACACGGCTTCATCCTGATGTCTCTGGGGACGCTGGTGAATGGTCTGCCAATAGAAATAACTTCAGAAATCGCAGCTGCCTTCGCTCAGCTTCCTCAAAAGGTCGTATGGAGGCATGCTGGTGAACGCCCCAACAATGTGGGGAACAATACCCTTCTGGTGAAATGGATGCCCCAAAACGACTTGCTGGGTCACCCAAAGATAAAAGCCTTTGTGGCTCATGGTGGCACCAATGGGATCTATGAGTCCATGTACCATGGTGTGCCAATTATTGGCATTCCCCTGCTGTTTGACCAGTTTGAAAACATTTTGCGAATGGAAGTTCGAGGAGCTGCTAAAATGGTGGATGTAACAAAAGTCACCCAGCAGAATTTCCTCAAAGTCCTACAAGAAGTTCTTAACAATCCCTCCTACAGAAACAACATGAAGCGTCTGTCTGCTCTCCACCGAGACAGACCAATGCATCCTCTGGATGCTGCAGTTTACTGGATTGAGTTTGTTATGAGGCACAAAGGAGCTGCACATTTACGCACCGAGTCTTATAAGATGCCCTGGTATGTGTATCATTCTGTGGATGTTATAAGCTTTTTGTTGGTCATCTTGTTTATGCTGACAGCCTGTGTAGTGGCAGTCATACGATTCACGTGGCTTCGAATGTGCAGGAGGAGGAAACCAAAGCAAGAGTGACTCCTCGAATGAAGATGGATCCAATTAAAATGTTATATTGATATTCTAGATTTTTTTTGTCAACAGATGCAAAAATAAAATACTAAACTTTAAAGTCCTGGAATACTATCGTTGCTGCAATGCTTATAGTTTTTTTTTTCTTTTTTTGGGGGGGGGGCGGGGGGGGGGTTTGCTCCAGAAAGAGCATCCACTGTAACAGAAATGTGCCAAATCAAAGATGGGGAGCTTCCTGCTATGGTGAAAAAGAGAGCAGTCAAAATAGCTTCTATTTCTTCAGATTTAATATTTCAAAATGAATTATCTAACATGTACCAGTTTTTCTTTATTGTATTTCAGTCATATCTAAATAACAAATTACTTTTAAGAATTTCAGATAGGACAGCAGGTGACTGACAGGTGCAATAGATTGAAAATAAGTTCAGCAAGACATTCTCAGAAGACTTAGTCATTTAAACATGAAATTTCAATTCAAAACAAACATATTTCCACATTTTGTGTGAAAGGGGCAGGAATTTCTGCATGTGTAGTCTATGAAATTAAAACACATTAAGAAGTTTGAGGTTGCATTGTTGCATGTGTTGCATGAGATTTTAACATATATTATAGGACATTTCTTCTTATTAAAAAACTTTATTTACATATTGAACACATTTATGTTTTCCACATGTAAACACACGTGGTTTGTATGTTTTGTCTTTCACCTTGCAGTTAGCTACCAAAATGAGTTCAATAAGTAATTCTCCAATAAACTTAAGAAAAGTGAATAGCATGTCATGCAGTCTTTGTGTTATCCTTGCGTAGATTGTCTGCTGTTATGTGCTGTGCTGCACAGTGATGCATGAGTAAACATATACAATTATCCCATTGATAGTGGGAGGAGATAAAGGTTGGCTTAATTTGTCTGACTAAGCTTTAAGCACAGCATTTGAAACTTATCAACAAAGGACCAAACCATCAGGAAGCCTAATGCTTAATAATTAAACACAGAGTGAGTCTTCAGGCTGAATCCTCCCGTGGTTCCTGTTCTGAAATACAGTCATTGGTTAGGACGCAGAAAAAGACAGAAAATGTTAGACACATCTCTGCAGGCTTGGACAGGTAACACATTCTCACATCAATCAGGCTGCTGAACAAGAGCATCATAAGAAGCTTTTCATAAGCAATTACTGCTGTATTATTATTTTATTAATTCAGCACTATTACATTTCTCCTAAATATGATTTGAGTTTATTACTGACTTTTTACATGGAATATTTTTTATATTGGTGTTTTACCAAAACAGTAATTCATTTTTTATATAATTGCATAAAAAAGTCTAATCTGAACTTATGTCAAAGCATCAGTTACACTTTATTTAACAGATTTTGAAACATAAAGCCACTAATATATGATGCTGTAACATTGTAGACAAAGCTAAACAGCAGTATATAAGTAATTATAATCATCTCCAGCTGCAACACTGACATGATATACACATCAATATATCAATAATTATCATCAGCACAAGGAGTTTTTTTTACTTAAAGAGCATTTACTGTGGGTATGTAATAAACATTTTGCTTAAGCTAAATTTCGCGTCATAATTTCTGCATTTCGGCTGAGCATTGTGCTCATGGCTACCCATCTGAAATATCCTGGAAACGTCCTCGGTTTCTAAGACCACATTCGGTCATTGTTCACACAGACTCTAAAAGTATGAATGTTACCAGCTACATGGTCACAGCTCATAAGAGGAAACCCTTTCATTGTTTGAATGAACTTTTACTGCCTTGATTCATTTCAACCTTATTCCACAGTTCCCTCAAATCTACAGTTTTACAGGTGATTATTCCGCTGATATCAACACCATTTTACAAACAAGATCAACATTTAGCCCCTAAAAAACCTGGTACCTTGTATTGATTAGAGAAAAAGAAACCAAACTCTAAATTATTTTGCTGTTTTATTTCATTTGTTTCACATGAAACTCTGGTGGTCTGAATCTGTGCTTTGAATACTGAAGTTGGTATAAGGGAAAAACCCTAAACGGTGGTGTTGACTGCTCATTTGTGGGTTTTGATTTGAAATTAAAATGAACACTAGATATATCTTTTAGATATATTTTAATCAATGGGCAATAGTGGTTTACAGGAGTGGGTGAGTGGGAGGATTATAAGGTTCAAAAATGAATAAGAAAGTTTACATGTGCAACTTCTGCAGTTCCTCTGCTGTCTCCAAACGCGAGCCAGTCCTCACAGACTTTACAGCAGAAGGAAAGATGTTTACAGCTTGATACACGAAACCTTTTTTTGTTTTCTGGGGGTAAGGTCTACCTTTATAACAACTGCATCATGGGAGACGTTTTCTATAACTTGTATTTTTACATTTTTTTAAGACTCAAAGTTTGGAGAGTGGCTGGCTTTTGACACGTGTACCAACACATGTATCTACTACATGATTATTTCTGACTCCAAGAAACTAGAATGCAAGAGCAACACCGAATAGCAGTCAAAATTCAACGTGAATCTTTCAGCCCCTGCTGCTAGTATCAAGAAAGATCATGTCTCCCATGTCATGCACACAAATAAATCACATTTATGCTCATATTTTATGGCATAGGTATCGTCTTTGGTTTGATCCATTAGCCATGGCTGTGTGTAAGTAATTATGAGAATTAAGTAGGTAAAGTCAGTAGCGGCTGCGCACCCTGCAGGTGCAGTCTAATCACTATGAATTTCCATTCGAGGGGTAATTATTTGACCTCTAGTAATTTTCCACACTTTTTTCGAGAGCTAAAAAGCTTCACATGTTCCCAGATATTAAAGGATATATATTTATGCTACTTTTATAGATTAAACAGGCATTCATTCTGATGAGTCTGATTCTGTCTTTACTTTGTATATCAGCAGCACTGTGGTGTTGGGATTAACACTGATTACTATACAAATGCAATCATATTAAAAACTGTATAAATGTTGCACCTCTTTTAAAATTTTATTTTTTGTATTGTTCCACTAAGGTCACAGGAAGCTGTGAGGGCTGCTGTGTGCATTGCTCCAGTGTCAACCTATTGGTTCTCTCAAGGTTATTTCCTGAGAATGCCGAGAGCTTTTGCAAACTCCCAGAATTTGCAATTCCAGGTTTTTTCTTTTGTCATTGGAATGTTCTTACTTTCTAGGAGCAGGGATATCTCACTGGTTGAGCTCATACAGATCAAGACCACACTGGCTTTATTCTGTTTAAGAAGATATTGTGTTACTCCACAGTTTTTGTGTGTGTGCCACAGAGTATGTGCTCTGTAGGAAGACTACTTCCCTTTCCTCTCCCAACCCTAAACTGCGCACATGCATATGAAACCCACGGGTTACACACTCCTCCCACCTTATGCAACACAGTAATTAGGATTTGGGTTCTTTTCTCCTGCACTCTGAAGCTGAGCTCCTTTCTCTCAGAGAGGATCCAAAGTACTTTTGTCCACATTCTCAGGCATTTAAGGTAGGTTACAACACTTTCTATCCTTCACAGTAACAGTTAAACTATTATAAATGCTAACTCAGCACTTCCAAAATAAACTCAGAAGACTTAGTTGTTTTTTCTTCAGCAGCTGGCATTCAGAAAAGAAACTGAATACAAGGGCATGTTTCTTCCTCTTTGGTGTTTTTAGCTTGTTAGAAAATCCCTGCTAAATGTAGATGACGAGATTAGAGACTGCAGGCATTACTCAGGACATACATACACCTCCTGAACTTTGATTTGTTGCAACATTTCATGTTCAGTGAGGTTAGCCTGTGTGTGATCTCGTTATGGCAAAGTGATCCTTGAGGGAGCTCCTATAGCAGAAACTACTCCAAAAAGCTCTGAGTTCGTTGCAAGTATTATGTGTGCCTGGACAGATTCAGTCAAAGTAACAAAGTCCAAACTAAACAATATGCAGTGATGCAGCTTTCTAGGTATGATGTCATGATCCAATCCAGTCAGAGTTCAAAGAGGTGTGGGTGTTACTTAACCTCTGTGAAATGTAGCAATAAATAGAGCACAGGTTGGGCATTTAGTGGTTTTTAGTATGGTTTAATTTACAAATGATAGCTGCAGAAAACAACAGGAAATGTGGCTTAAAGAAGAATTAAAATGCTACATTACATAGAACTGTATATTTAGAGTTAATGCACACAGTGTGCATTTATGAGCAGAATGTGACAAACCATTATTTTAATAACCAGAGAAGATCTTGTGGGGGCATCTGCCTCCACAATGATGTCAGCTTCATACCTCTAAGATTCTGCGACTTTATGTTACACGATTGTTGCAGACACAAAGTCACTGCACAGAAAGAGAAACAGACATATATTAATCAACTCGAGTTTTAAAGTGATCCAACACATACGCAGAGTAAAAAGCTCCACTGGTCTCTCACATCTGGCAAAAATTCTTCTCTTGTTGTTGTTGGTCGCTCAGACAGTGATGTTATTAAACTGTTCCAAGTCATTTTAAATGCAGTGTTTTGAATACACGCAGTGTGAGCTCACCAGTGGCACACTATAGGTGCTTTGTACATTGAATACAACCTTTGAAGTATAGTATGGTCATTTAATAACAAATAGACCACCATTATGATGACAGGGACCTCCAGGCGCAAAACCAGCAATCATCAGTTGTCCATGGATGTTGTTTTTGGACTAAATAATGTTATGATTTGGCCCTGTTTGGCCAAAGTCAAGCTTTTTGGAGCTGTCTGAAGTACATGCTACCGGAAAAAAAACACAAAAACAAAACAAATAAAACTTTAGACAGCTTTGGCAGACAGCTCACAACCTCAGAAAGTCGGCTGAAATGTTCAAGGTGAAATGAGATCTTTTCAAGTTGTGGAAAAGACATTTAGAAAAGAAGACATGTTTACATAGAAACCAATTGATTATTGATTGGGTTATCTCTGAAGAGACGTATTTCACTTTACAAATATCGTTTCCATTTAGTTTTTTAAATGAGTTGTTGCTGGATGTGACTGTGTCATTGCATTATTATGCTATCAATGTTCTGTAAGGAGTGACACACTATATATCCTACATTAAGTGTTGTGGAAGATTTTCCACTGATACTATGCAAATCTTCCAGATGACTCAAAATGTGCATAAAACACCAACTGTAGTGGAAAGTCACTGTGTGCACTAGTTAGATGCATTATACTCTTATAGCTTTGCCAACATTTTATTTTGGCCCAGGGCAAAAACAGCCATGGACTGATTGACACACACCAAGAAAGTGGCATATTTAGACACAATGGCTTTTCTCTGTCCTGCTTATACAGAGCCTTCGGCCCTTTTTTGTGTATCTTGAGTAATAGTTTATTGTGTTTGTCTTTGCCAAGACACAAGTACAGTATTGGGTCTCTAATAGACACTTGGAAACACCTCCCCCTGTATTTAACTGCTGGATTTCCTCACTGAGAGGCCACCAGCAGTTCAGGTCAACAACAGCACATCAAGCAGGGATGTGTGCTGAGTCGTCTTCTCTTCACTCTGCTGACCCACAACCATACCCCACACTACAGCAATAACCTCTTTATTAGATTTGCAGGTTTATTTATGGTTTATTTATATTTATTTTTGGCGTTCAGTCAAATTAACAAAGTCCAAACTAAACAATATGCAGTGATGCAACTTTATAGGGATATTGTCAAAGTTTGGCACACATGCATACATTATTGTGCACATCCTGAAATTGTACATATATTTATTCTCATAATTCTCACATTCCTGCTCTTATAATTGGCTTGTTTCTTACATTTCTTTGTTTTGCACACCACTGTTGCTTGTGAAGCTTGCAGAAAAGAATCTCACTCACATGTGCTGTACCAGTGATGTGACGTGACAATAAAAGTGATTTGATTTGATTTGATGATACAACTATGGTGGGTTTCAACAGCAAAAATGATGAGACATACTACAGAAGTGAGGTATCTCAATTAGTATGTGGTGCAGTGAAAACAATCTAGACAAGTGACAGCCCTAGTACCCATCATGTGCACCTTCTACTGAGGCATGATTGAGAGCATCTTCACCAGCTGCATCTCTGTGTGGTTTGAAGACTCAACCACCTTGAGCCACAGAATATAGTAAATGGAGCAGGGAAGCTATCTGGGGCCTCAATCTTCTCCCTCCCTCTACAAAACTGTTAGTATTGCGGGTGATCCCACAAACCCCTCACACAGCTTTTTTAGTCTCGTGACCCCAGAGAAAAGTTCTGGGTGGTTCCACCAGGTTTCATCAGCCAGGCTGTCGTGATAGTGAACTTCCTCCCTCACCTCTTTACCCACTCAGAGTTATCTGCTCTCAAAAAGATGCTCCATGTCTTAGCCTTTACTTTACATGAAGGACTTTCATTCTGATGTTTCCTCACTTGCAATAATTGATGGAGGCTTTTAATAAATCATTGATACTTTATATTTTTACATAAAGAAATGCAATAGCGTATATACCTTTAAGAATTCTTGTAAGCCTCAAATGTATTTGTGCATAGAAAGCAATAATAGAATCTAGGCTTTAATGTATCTTGTGTAATTCATTTTAATATGCTGAGACCTACTATGTAATTTCGAATCTGTATCTGTATGCACACTGTGGATCAGAAGGATATGACATTTGATTTCTGTGTATGTCCTGAACATAGAGGACACAATTAAGTTGACTTTGACTTGAAGTATTTAACCTTCATACATGGATGCATTCATTCATATCAGGTCATGACACAGTGTATGCCTATGTCTTACCATTATATGGTAATACATATCTTACCATTATATTCAAAACTTTTGCAACCGTATTAGATGCTGAGAGACAATTGTTCGCCCAAGACCTACAAAATCCATGTAAAGACATGGTATTGTCTGCCAGGACATTGTGATTAGAGTCCTGTTGGGATCTTTTTTGTTTTGAACTAGTATTTGTTTTTCTTCTCTTTTTACTTTTTACCTTTATTTTTGCACACCTGCCAGGTTTAGGCAATTTTAACTACCTGCTTAGAAATAAGAAAGCTATCTAAGTAGCACCATTCAAAAAGACAACCCTTTCAACTCAATCAATAATTCTGTAATCTGGTGGGTCCTGCAACTTAAGTAAGTTTGCCAGCTGGAAGAAATTCAAGATGTCATTTATGCATCACTTGTACAATCATACTTGCAACATTGACTGTGAACTTAACAGTTAAATTATAATTGTTCTATGATTTTCCTCAGACTTGATCCATGGGGAGCTTTCCAGGAGTTTCTCTGTTTCTTCTGGGCGCGACATTGTCCTTAACTGTAAGTCCTGTCCAGGGTGGAAAGATTCTGGTGTTCCCCGTTGATGGCAGCCATTGGGTGAACATGAACCTGCTGATCCAGAGCCTCCACGCCAAAGGCCATGAAGTCACTGTGGTCCGCACAGCCACTAGCTGGTATGTCAAAGAAGAGGCACCACATTACAGCTCCATCACTGTCACCTTACCAGAGGCTGTCTGCATAGAGGAGCAGGACTTCTTTGTAACTTTCCTGGTCAAGATACTGGAGATCAAAAAACAGGGGGCGTCTTTGATGGCTTTCTTGAAGTTCTACTGGGAAGTGCTAGGTTCATTATCAAAAATCTACCAACAAGCTAGTCTGTTAGGTGTAGAAATATTTGAGAACAAGACTCTAATGTCGAAGATACGTGACTCTAATTTTGACCTGGTTCTTATGGACCCTGGACTTCCTGTTGGAGTTATAGTGGCCCACAAACTAAAGCTTCCAGTTGTTTTTAATGTTAGATGGATGACCAGTGGGGATGGTCATTTTGTTGTTGCTCCATCACCAACGTCATATGTCCCTACTTCTGGAAATGCTATATCTGACAAGATGACCTTTTTTGAAAGAGTCAAAAACACATTCCACTACTTCCTCAACACCTGCATTGACAAGTTTATAGTGTGTCCTCCTTATGATAGAATGGTAGAAAAGTACTTAGGCCCAGATGTGAACTTCTATCAGCTTCTTCAAGGAGTAGACCTGTGGCTCATGAGAGTGGACTTTGTCTTCGAATTCCCCAGGCCTACCATGCCAAACATTGTCTACATTGGAGGATTTCAGTGTAAGCCTGCTGAGGCCTTACCTTCAGAGTTGGAGGAGTTTGTTGAAAGTTCAGGAGAACACGGCTTCATCCTGATGTCTCTGGGGACGCTGGTGAATGGTCTGCCAATAGAAATAACTTCGGAAATCGCAGCTGCCTTCGCTCAGCTTCCTCAAAAGGTCGTATGGAGGCATGCTGGTGAACGCCCCAACAATGTGGGGAACAATACCCTTCTGGTGAAATGGATGCCCCAAAACGACTTGCTGGGTCACCCAAAGATAAAAGCCTTTGTGGCTCATGGTGGCGCCAATGGGATCTATGAGTCCATGTACCATGGTGTGCCAATTATTGGCATTCCCCTGCTGTTTGACCAGTTTGAAAACATTTTGCGAATGGAAGTTCGAGGAGCTGCTAAAATGGTGGATGTAACAAAAGTCACTCAGCAGAATTTCCTCAAAGTCCTACAAGAAGTTCTTAACAATCCCTCCTACAGAAACAACATGAAGCGTCTGTCTGCTCTCCACCGAGACAGACCAATGCATCCTCTGGATGCTGCAGTTTACTGGATTGAGTTTGTTATGAGGCACAAAGGAGCTGCACATTTACGCACCGAGTCTTATAAGATGCCCTGGTATGTGTATCATTCTGTGGATGTTATAAGCTTTTTGTTGGTCATCTTGTTTATGCTGACAGCCTGTGTAGTGGCAGTCATACGATTCACGTGGCTTCGAATGTGCAGGAGGAGGAAACCAAAGCAAGAGTGACTCCTCGAATGAAGATGGATCCAATTAAAATGTTACATTGATATTCTAGTCAAAGGAGCTTGCAAAGAAAAGTGTCTGGACTTCTTTACGTTACCTTCTTTACGTTTTCAAGTAACTTAAAGAAGTCCAGACGCTTTTCTTTGCAAGCTCCTTTGACTACGATGACCTGGATGACTGAGAACCTTCACAGACATATTGATATTCTAGATTTTTCTTGTCTTTACCCAATCATATGAAAAGACCAAATCGTACTTGAGATTTCTCCTGGGTTAGTCGTTCTTTACTGCTGCTCAGCCTAAAAGGAACAAATAATGAACAAAGCCAGCCCGGACATTCTGTTGCAGTTATATCTCTTGGCTTTCCTGGGAACACCTTGATGTTCCCCTGGACACACTGGAGGAGGTAGCTAGGAAGATGGAGGTCTGGGCTTCTCTGCTTAGGCTTCTGCCCCCGCGACCTGGGCCCAGCTGTTATAAAATGGATGGATGGAAAGTAAAAAGTAAATATGGAACACAATAAAAAAAACATCCTTACACTAACTTATCCTCCAAAGATCCTGCATCCTAATATAGGGACAGAGCATTTTTCTTTTTGGCCTGTTCCATAAACTACAAAGGTTTTAGGACTGTCTATTTGATTCAAATCTCTCTCGTGCTGTCACTGTCACTTAATGCTAATACAAAGTAAGTGATGCAATATTAAACTTCCAATGGTGAGCAATATCTGACTATGAAAAGAAATTTTTCATAGTCAGATTTTCTTCATATTTTGCTAGGGACATATCAAAAGCTTAGTGAAATGTGCAAACAATAATGAAAATACAGAATATACAGCCTGCCTTAGCAGCTCCAAACCGGGCCCATGACTTATGTCTGTGAAAGTTCTCAGTCATCCAGGCCCATGACTGTACCTCCACAGTGTTTTACAGTTGGCTGTAGACGCTGTTCTACCTTGTTCCACATCCTCTTCTTTACTTACTGCAGAACCAAAAGTTGCCACTGATTTTCCGTCTAATTTTTATGTAATTTGGGACACCTTAGCTTTCATTTCCTGTTTCCCGTCCTTGTAAATGGCTTCTTAACAGCCACCCTTCAACTTGGGACCATTTCTGATGATAGATTTTAGGTCTGATACTTCATTGTTTGTCTTCACTTGTCCAGTTTCTTCAAATTTTTTAAGAACACACTGCACAACATGACAAGATACGTCAGGTTTTCAGCTAATAACTCTTTGGGTAACCCTTTGTCCGTGCGAAAATACTAAACTGGACTGAAAATGAGTGAAAAAGCCGCTGAAGAAAAACACAAAAGCCTGGAGAACTATCGGTAAACACCACTTTAAATTGCAAAAAAGCCTTGCTCCTTGGAATCAAAATATAAAGAAATGAAGGGTGGCTCAAGAGTTTTGGACAGTACTGTGGCAGCCAAACACGAGAGAAAATAATCTGTTAAATGTGAAAATTTGACTTTTATGGATCTGACTGACTTTTAATGTTCTGTTCAATAAGAGTCAAAACGACAAGCTAAGCTCATCACTAAAGGTTTTATAGTAGCCAATCTCTGTTTCCCCACAGAACTCACATTTAAGGCATTTCTGAATGGCCACACATCTGTGTTCAGCCTGTGTTTATAACTGCACAAACAGCAAATGCACCTCATGCTCATGTTTCAGTAATTTTACAATACAGTAGTGTCCAGCTGTTTTAGTAAGTCATTGGGTCTTGTCTAAAATAACTATCTGAAACAAAACACAAGCCTTGCTGCGAGCAGTTGCATAAAGGAACTATATTCTTTCTACTGTTTACATCCACTAACCAATAGAAGTGTGGAGCCAGCTACAGAGGAAGTACAAGCTTAACTACCCAGAACCATCCTTTGTTCTTGAATAATCACAAGGTTTGTGGATTATTTTTAGTAAATGGGTTATAATTCACTGCTGTTTTTCAAATGTATTTTCAGCCATGTTAGCCTCAGACTGAAGGTAGATGGATAAAAGGAGACGAATATGTACATTTGATTATCATATTTACATTTACATTCAATAAATAAATTCACATTTAATAAATGCTGGAAAGCTGAATGCTCAGTTACTGTTAATGTGGAATTTTGACATAGAATCAGTGAATGTGTAATTTGTAAGCCATGAGTGTGTTTTTAGCACTGTTACTGTGAACTGATGTGTAGTTCTGATGTTTAACAAGCTATGGAAAAACGGAATAATTTACCTTATTTTAATGTTCTTTCAATATTTATGTGATGCAAATGTATGTTGTTTAATACCACTTGAAGACAAAATACTTGATTAAAATTTAAAAAATGAAACTTTTTGTCAGAAGCTTTATTTTTTCTGGAAAGTCCGGCATGAGATAAATAAGGATTCTTTTAAAGTGATAATCATGAAAGGCCACTCTAGCAGAATCTAAGAATAAAAAAATAGAGCTGGAAATGTGTTTCTTTACTATTTATCAATGTAAAAGTTACTTATGATCTGCTTTGCTGAACTCTCAGAGTCTGCAGGAGGCTGAACCTGCAGACAGACCGTCCTAATATCAGAGACGAGCTGCAGCAGCCATACACAAACAGAAAAGTGCGATAAGCTCAGTTTGAGTCATGTGGACCACAGTGGGGGGCTTTGTTTTTCTGAGCTGAGGGTTCATTAGAAAGAAGAATGCACTACTTGTTTTTCGTCATCAGCCCACACACTCTCGCTCAGACGCACATTTTGCGTGTCTAGACTTGAAATATAGGCAGAACCCAAGAGAAAAAAATAATTTAAAGACTTCCTAACCCACAGAGACAGTGAGTGTGGTTTTCCTGTTATGTATCATAAAACAGTTTCTTTAGCATGACTTTACACGGTATACACGCACAGGCAGTTTCAGGGTAAAACAGGTACATTTGGACACTGCATGTATATGATGTGACTTTGGGGTTCCTTAATGCAACGTTAGAGGGAATACTGCCCTTTACCTTCACCTAATTTATCTGTCTCTGATATAATAAAATAAATATTTTAATTATTAGATGTTTATTTAGAATTAATTAGAAACAAAAGATAAAAAGCCTGACTATGATGGCGTTCGTTATCATTTGTTATTGATGAAAGTATTACAGAGTCATAACTTCACCTATAAGAGCGATATTAATATACTGCAATGTATCGTTCACTCAAACATACTTTAAGTTTTAAATCCAATTTTTTTTCCTAATGTGAATGAAATAACTTAAATTTTTTGTAAGAAGTAGTCAAAGAGAATTGGCTAAATAATATTTTTCTTAATGTATAAAAATAACAAACCAAAACAACATTAGTACATTTTAAAATATGGGTCACTGGAGTAGATAAATGAAACAGAACAGATACTCAAATTCATTTTCTGGGTAAAAAAGAATCAAAACTTTTACTGAATTTTAACCAGAAGGTGGCAGTGCACCCTTCTGCATAGCAATTTAACTGACACACACACACACACACACACACACACACACACACACACACACACACACACACACACACACACACACAGGTGGGAGCTAAAGGAATAATTTATTTCAAAGATATTTAGATTCATGATACCCCTATTGTTTACTTTTGATAAGGGAGATATTAAAAATGTTCTTATTTCATAAATTATGTTTCTCAATCATTTTTAGCTCAACCCGATCAGCTCAGGCATCAAATCTCTCTCTCAAGGCTTCTGCAGAAACCTTAAATGTCTGTTAGCCAAAACAACACAGTATAGTGGCTCAGAAAAATGGAAAGTGTTAGCAAAACAAAGCTTAAAATGTTTTTAAAAAGAACAAAAAACCCATATCTATATTTCAAACAACTTTCCTTTTCACACCAATTTGCCAATTTTCCAGTGCTCTTTTACGTTTGGCTCTCCTCCCCATCAGTGAGGCTCGCCAGAACTTCGAAAAGCTGAGTGGACTGACTGGTGCCTCTTAGCTCACATAAATAAAAAAGTCCCACATGCAGGATGGGGTGCCAGAATAATTTAACAAAAGATGAACTTCAGTGGCTACAGCAAGTCAAAGACTCATAGATAAATCTAAAGCAAAGCAAGAGAAACAGGAGATTGAAGAGGCGATGCAAACAGCCAAGATAAACTGAAGACATGACTATACACTCATGTGCCACTTCATTAGGTACACCTTGCGAGGACTGAACCCTGTCTTTGCTTTTAAATCTTTGTAGCATTGATTCAACTACATGTTGGAAACATCCCTCAAAGATTTTGGACCATATTGTCATGATAGCAACCAGTGTTGGTCAAGTTACTTGAAAAAAAGTAATCAGTAACTAATTACTGATTACTTCCCCAAAAAAGTAATCCAGTTACTTTACTGATTACTTATTTTCAAAAGTAATTAATTACTTAGTTACTTAGTTACTCTTTAAAAACACGATTTACAACCTGAATAGGTGATAAAGCGATAGATCTTTCAGCCCAATTCTACTTTTTCTGCATAATCCATCATACAAAATGTAATCAAATGGAAAAGTCTCTTTTTAAAACTTGTTTTATTAGTTTTTCTTTTAACTTTATGCATCAAGCAAAAATGTAATTATATGCAACATTCTCTGACTGGAAGAAATTTGTTTAATATTTAAACCTATTTTCTGCACATTCCAGCTCATAAAATAAAATGTTTTTTGTGTTTACACTCAGTCTTTCAAATAGATACAAATAAAACACAGCAGAAAATAAATAAAGTCAAAGACTCAGCGGTCCTTTTGCTCTATTTTCACCTGTAAAGCAGGGGTGGGGCAGGCGGAGGTTTACCCTGGTGCAGGTGTGCCGCAGCGGTCAGTGGAAGAATCCGCGAGTTTCTCTGTGAGTTTCCCATTACGTCGTAGCTACTCAGTGCTTGTTGGAAGTTTAGGGGTTTTTTCGCTGTAAAAAGAAGTTTTCTTCCCACGCACAACGGACGCTAATGTTTTTGTCACTTTTTATGGAATCAAGCTCAAAGTAAGGTCAGTACTTCCACGCTTTAAACGCTGCCCGCGCATACTTCCTGCACTCGATATATTATCCATTGTTGATCTGCACACAGCTGTTGCCACAAACGTCGCACTCGCTTACGTCACTGTCATGAGACATTCTCGCAAAAAATCACGGTTTTAGTGACGCAGTAACGCAGCGTTCCTACAGGAAAGTAACGGTAATCTAATTACCGTTTTTGCAATAGTAATCCCTTACTTTACTCGTTACTTGAAAAAAGTAATCGGATTACAGTAACACGTTACTGCCCATCTCTGATAACAACACACAGCTGCAGTTGTTGGTTGCACATCCATGATGGGAATTTTCTGTTCCATCACATCCAAAATGTGCTCTGTTGGATTGGTCAGTGTGGAGGCCAAAATTAAGATAATTTGAACATCACCGTGATGGATTCCACCATCAGAGGATGGTACACTCTGGCCATAAAGGAATGGACATGAGCAGCTACAATACTTTAGTGTTAAATAAGGCTCAGATGTATGCCAAGAAGATATCCCCCACACCATTAAACAGTAGCTTTTGATCCATGCATTTATGTTGTTTATGCCAAATTCTGACCTATCATCCAAATGTTGGAGCACAATTCAAGAGTCACCAGAGCAAGCAACAATTATTCCGTCTTCTATTATCTGTTATTATTATTAGTGGTGCAACGGGTCAAAGAACTCACGGTTTGGATTGGATCACGGTTTTAAGTCATGGATCGGATAGATTTTCGGATCAGCAAAAAAAGAAAAAAGACAAGAAAAATGTAACTTGCCATTTATTTATTTACATATTTTTTGCCCATTAAAAAACATTCAATGTAAGACTCATATAAAAACTCATATAAAACAAATTAATGTGCAATATAGGGCAGTACAGGGCTTTGTATGTACCACTCTGCTGTGATATAATGCACGGTCACGGTCACGTAGCTTTATGTTGCCCTGGAGATCCACCCATCTGTAGTTAGGGAAACAGAAGAATCCTGGGACAGTTCAGCCATAACTTTAGACTTTTCCTGCTCATACATGCTTTTTACTGAAGTGGACGTGCAACAGGATATCACAGCGTGGCTCAACCATGTTCATCATATGTTTAAACCACTTGTTTTGCACAACAGAATACGTCCTCATGTCTGCAGCTATAGACCCAATAGCTTTTGTAATAGCTTTAGCCCGGTCGGACTGGGCAGCAAAGGGCTGCTTAAATGCCGCAAACTCGACTTGGACCGCTTTTTTTTTCTTTTTCGAATCTTTGGATCACGTGCGTGCCAAACCGTGGAGTGGGAGCAGTTCGGATCACGGATCAACTGTGATCCGTTGCACCACTAATCACCATCATCATCATCATTATTATTATTACTATTATTATTATTGTGAACCTGTGCTAATTGTACCTCCTGTGTCCTGTTTTTAGCTGCAGGAGTGGCACCCAGGTTTCATGTGTTTGATGTTTGATGTGTTAATAATTTCTGGCTCTCTTCCACAGCATGTCTTTGTCCTGTTGTCATGCACTCATGCCCAACTAATCCTGGCAGATGGCCGCCCCTTCCTGCCCTGATTTTGCTGGAGGTATCTTCCTGTTAAAAGGGAGTTTTTCCTTTCCACTGTTGCCAAAGGAAGTTCTCCTAGGGGGTCATATCGTTGTTGGGGTTTTCTCTGTTTTCTTTGCATTATTGTAGGGTCTTTACCTCAACAATATAAACCCCCTTGAGACAATTGTTGTTGTAGTTTGGCACTATATAAATAAAACTGAACTGGTTTCAGAGATACTTTGAGATGAGTGGTTATTTAAGTTTACTTTAAACCTTATGTTAGGCTCAAAGCAGTCTGGCCATTCTCCTCTGACCTCTGAGATCCACTTCCCCCAGAGAATTGCTGCTCACTGGATATTTTCTCTTTTTCAGACTAGTCCCTGTAAACTCCGTAAAAATTAGTAGGTCAGCAGTTTTTGAATTCACTTAAATCATCTTCCTTCCCCACCCCAATGATCAGTTTGAACATCAGCAGGTTGCCTTGAGCATGACTACATGCCTAAAAGCATTGAGTTGCTGCAATGTTATTGACTAATTAGATACTTGTGCTGACACATAGCTGAACCTAAGAAAGTAGCAGGAGAGCAAGTGAAAACTAGGAGGCAACAACAGAAAGTGACGCTCAAATGAAAATTAAACCTCAAAGCAAAACAGGAAATAACAAACAAAAAACAGAGGCAAGAAGAACAAGTGGTAGTGTACAGAAGAAACACAGTGTGGAACTGAGAGAGGAGCCTAAAACACAAGAAGCATAGTAAGAAAATCCAAATAGAAACCAAAGCTAAAAAAAAAGCTTAAAAACAGCAAGACAGTAAAGAAACCTCATTTAGTGCTGTGTAATTAACACATTGCAAACCCATATCTATTGGACCACAGAAAACTGATAATGGCCCCGGGGCCTTATGTTTGACACCCCTGACACTAAGCTGAACTTTCTTTTGTGGGGCACAATGGCATGACTGAACTTCCCCAGAAACTTTCATTAGGATTTTTTGGGGTGAACAGAAAGGGAGGGCCGACTTGATGTGTGGTTTTGGGTGCTGTAGGTGTGCAGAAGGAAACTGTGGTTTTCCTCTGAGATGACCTGGAAATTTATTAAAAGCTGTTAAAGAGAGGTTGTTCCTGTGTGTTTACGATTCCTATCATCATCTGCTGGAACCAACAGATCATAGCTTTTGAGTATGAGGTTAAGGATTTTGAGTGGTTCATTAGTCCTTTTCAAGTCAGTGAATTTTCGCCTGACTGTTGATTTCTTAGTCAGATTAAGTTGCCATAAAGTCACATAACTATAAATCAGATTTTAACAATGTGTTGCTTAATATTTTTCAGGACAAAAACAAAGAAAAAGTTTCAGTATTTGCTTTCTTCATGCTTGCAGGTCTCAGATAACTATGTGAACTTTGTGGTCAGAAGTATGTGGACAACTCCTGATTTTAGTGTGTGGTTTTGGGTGGTGCAGTAAATGGTTTCATTCTCAGTATTAAAATGAATAAACATTTTAGTCAGGGTTAAAGGTTGTTCACACTACTGTGTACTCATAGGTTAGGGACTTGCAAAGCATGGCCTGCTTTATCATAGATCATAATAAAGTGAAGTGATTAAAACACATGTAGCTGCTATTAACCTCTGTTACCGTCTGTTAGCCTCTATTAGCTGCTGTTAGCTACTGTAAGCACATCTAACCTTGTTGAACTTGGACACTTATCAAATAAGCTCTCATATGATGTGAGGATATAATCAAACTGTTTTCAGAAGGAAAAAAGTGTTTTTTAGAACAGTCAAGTCCAACATTAGCTGGCATAATGGTCGCTTATAACTAGCTGTTGTCTTCATTTAGATAGCTCATTGTTAGCTCTCCGGAGACGTGAGGGTGATATGTTTCATCTGCTATAAGTATGCATGACAATAAACATGTTTATGCATGCTTTCATGTGTTAGAGCCCTGAAATCAGTTCAGGAGATGATGATAATGCACAAAGGAGTTAGGAGGAGAAAGACATAGTAGAAAAGAAATTATGAAAACATCCATCCATCCATCTTCATCCGCTTTATCCGGGGCCGGGTCGCGGGGGCAGCAGCCTAAGCAGAGAAGCCCAGACCTCCCTCTCCCCAGCCACCTCCTCCAGCTTCTCGGGGGAACACCAAGGCGTTCCCAGGCCAGCCGAGAGATATAATCTCTCCAGCGTGTCCTGGGTCTGCCCCGGGGCCTCCTCCCGGTGGGACATGCCTGGAACACCTCACCCAGGAGGCGCCCAGGGGGCATCCTTGTCAGATGCCCGAACCACCTCAGCTGGCTCCTTTCGATGTGGAGCAGCAGCGCTCTACTCTGAGCCCCTCCCGGATGGCCGAACTTCTCACCCTATCTCTAAGGGAGAGGCCAGCCACCCTTCGGAGGAAGCTCATTTCCGCCGCTTGTATCCGCGATCTCGTTCTTTCGGTCACTACCCACAGCTCGTGGCCATAGGTGAGGGTAGGGACGTAGATCGACCGGTAAATTGAGAGCTTGCTTTTACACTCAGCTCCCTCTTCACCACGACGGACCGGTGCAGCGTCCGCATTACTGCAGCTGCAGCCCCAATCCGTCTGTCGATCTCCGGCTCCCTTCTCCCATCACTCGCGAACAAGACCCCGAGATACTTGAACTCCTCCACTTGGGGCAGGAACTCATCCCCGACCCGGAGTGGGCACTCCACCCTTTTCCGGCTGAGAACCATGGCCTCAGATTTGGAGGTGCTGATCCTCATTCCCGCTATTAAATGCACATATACAGTTGTAAAAAGTTATTTAGGATGTTTCAATTAAAAGTAACTTATCAAGTGTGTAACATATGCGACCGGTCTCTTTCGTCAAGCAGACTGAGATCCCTCAGTTCAGCTCCAACATGAAACAAAGGCCTAAAATCCAGCTTGTGTGGGGGTGATGGAGCACAGAGCGACAATATGTAATATATGTAAATATGTAATTTTTTTGGTTCCAGATTTTGTTTGATGTCGATTTATGTAAAAAAGTTTTTTGTCTTGCCGCCCCCAAAATAGAATATTCCAGATATAACCAGAGGCAGGTGGAGTATAAAAGGAAGCCAGTTGCTGTCTGAGAAGTTGGTCTGATTTTGAAGTCAATAAATGTCACAGTTTGGTTCTTGAATTTTATCTCTGCTTCAGATCTCTTTGTTTAAACTTTGAAGCTGACTTTTATTTTGGAATTCAGATCCTCGTGTGGTTTTCTGTGTGTTCACCTCCCTCTTCTCTTATTTACCTGCTACTTATAGTGTCTGAGTTAATCTATTCCTTTCTATGTGTCCCTCTGTCTTTATAAAGTAGACCGTGTTTTAGTTTTTTTCCGGCTCTCAATGTTTCTGGATTGATCTTAATATTCCTGTTTGAGAAGGGGGGGGGGGGGGGGGGGGGGGGGCGTGGAAATACATTCTTTAAAGGTTGCTTACTTCAATTACAAATCTAAAAGGGGAGGAATGTAATAGAGTGAATTGTTGCCCCCCAGTGGTAAAATACAGAAGTGCCTGTTACAGGGCTAGTTCTTGGTTGACCAATATATAACAACAAAAAAGGGTAGTTTTCTGCACCGCTAAGAAACAACAAGTTAGTGTGTGATGTCCTGCTGTTCAATAAAGGCACCTATCCACGTCCTTCTGTCCTGATCCTTTTAAGAGCCTAATCCAGAATATCACAACTGGCGACAAGGATTCTAAAGATTTCCACAGCGTGACAGAGGCTGTAGGAGGGCTGTGTTCACATGTAAAGAAAAAGACAAACCAAGACGTTTTCTTCACGGCTGCAGCGGAACAGCTTTTGGTGAGCTAACATGGCGATGCATGTGGGTCGTGTTGAAGAGTATAATGAATTGAAGGAAGATTTTGAGTCATATTTGGAGCGGTTGGAGCAATGGATGTTGGCAAATGATGTTTCCGATGAGAAGAAAGTGTGCATGTTTCTCTCTGTGATCGGAGCAGATACATACAGGCTGCTAAAGAATCTTGTGTCTTCGAGGGTACCGAGTACCATGGGATATGCAGCGCTGACTGGGGCGTTAAGTGCGCATTATAAGCCGACTCCAGTGGTGATAGCTGAGCGTTTTCGTTTTCAGAAACGTAACCAGAAAGAAGGGGAGGCAGTTTCTGACTATGTTGTCGCCCTGAGGCAGTTGTCAGCCACATGTGATTTTGGACAATATTTGGATGAGGCCCTGAGGGATCGTTTTGTTAGTGGGCTGCGTTCTGATGCTGTGCAGCGCAAGCTACTATCGGAAAAGGATCTTACATTTCCACGTGCATGTGAGATTGCCGTATCCATGGAACTCGCTTCGAAAAATACGATGGAGTTCTCAGGACGCCAGGACCCTCACCACGTAAATGCCTTGACAAATGCTCCAAATTTTTTCAACAAAGGATGGAAAGGACAGAACAGGCAAGAGGGCAATAACAAGCCAAAGAACTGGAAGGGACCTAAAAAAGACACAGGAATGAAGCAACCATGTTATCGTTGTGGTGGAAAG